CAATATTGATTGTTCGGATCATTGGTATCTAAGTCTTCCGCTGTGCTATCTTATACTTTGTATTGAAAGGTCGGTTCTTGTTCTGGTCTGCACCTTTACGGTATGCAACAATCATCCTCCACCGTCAACCTCTGGGAGCTTCACCACTTCTCCCGCTCGGCGGAGCAGCAGCACGACTGCCTGGTTAATGAGCGAACTGCCCGTTGCAAATGACACACTTTGCTGTGCGGCATCCAGCACCTCTTGGATGCGCACTTCCTCCCTCTGCACTGTTTCCCTTGGTGCACAAAGGCTCTGTGTTGGTCCTCCTTTTGGCAGGAACATCATGGCACACTGATATCTGCCCTTCAGGCTCTTAACCTAGACTTATACTGGCGTACATTCAGGCCCTGGACCATCATATTACCTAATGGAAAGCTACCGGACCCTTCCATGCCCAACTGGCTTGCTGGACAATCCCTACCAGGCTTCTATCAAATTCTACTCGTGTCCCTGGCGCTACACTACCCCCAATATGTCCTACCACCAACATTTCTGTCCTGCCCCTGGCCTTATCCCTATTACTATGCTGTCCCTGTTTGAGTCACAGTTACACACCAAGGCCAACAGAGGTAGCACAAGAAACCAGACTTGGACTCAGGCAGGCACACAACACACACGTGTTAGTGATAGACCACACACACAGTATTACACACTTAGGAAAAAAAACATAGCAAATCACAGCAGAATAGACTCAATTCGGAATTCTCAGAAAACAGATAAAAGATACTGCATCTCCTCTCAGAAACCGCAGAGATTTCAGGCAGCGATTTGTGGTGGTCATTGCAGCTGTATATTGCTGCTCTCGTCTTGCTCTTCATCGCACTCGCTGCTATTGTTTTCTTCTTTCTTGTGGATGCTTGTAGTCTTGGCCACTTTGGGTTGGTGCAGCACTATCTCCCCAACCTGTTGCAGGATGTGTTTTGTTTGGACACCCTTTCCACGGGTGCCTGCTGCGGCGCCCTGCCTGTGTACACTTTATGACGACTCCAGTCCTTTCTGATGGCGATTTCTATTCCCGTTGTTTTCGCTTGTGGAATCCCGGTTATCTCTGCGCCCATTCTGCTGTTGCCTTAACTCCCTCTTTTACCCCTGCGCAATGAGCTGCACAGAATCAGTTTGAGATTTCTGCTGTTTTTAGAGTATAGCTGCTTGCTGGACTGATTTGCTGTGATTTCTGTGTTCTGCTCTGTGTTTTCTGAGTGTGTGTGTGGGTGTGACCTAATCCACTAACGTGCATGTGCCTCGCGCTTGCCTGAGTCCAACTCTGTGTCCCTGTGCTAACTCTGTTTTCCATTCTGTGTTTCTGTACCTCGGGTTGGGTGGCTAATTGGATTAGACACAGGGACAGACACGAAATTTGGTAGTGGAAAAACTTGCCAGAAGCTCTAGACGGCCAGCTGTAGCTGTAGAATTTGATAGGGACCCGTAAGGCCTTCTACAGTGAAATTTAGCCTTCAAGTCAATGGTAGGAAAGTAGTGTATTAAAAAAAAAAAAGAAAAAAAAAAGGAAAGTTCAAAGTAGTGTATTATTGGGTGCCGAGACCGGTAGAGCTCTCTTAGGAAAATAGTATATTATTGGGTGTCAAGATTGGTAGCGCTCTCTTTGGTTCCTTCTTCAATTGAGCATTGTGCTGCTCCGCAAGAGGGGGAAGCTGGCGGAGCACTTAGACGATGGAGCTGGAGGGTGAAGGTGAAAACCTCCATGGCATGGAGGAGGAGTGTACCCCATGCCAGAGGAAGGAGAAGGGCAGTAGAAGGGAGTAGGAGGTGAAGAAGAGGGAGAGTGAGAGGAACCGACGTAGAGAAACTCACCTTGGGTATGGTTGACCTTCATCTTCACTTCCTTGGTTGGCAGTGCATCAGGAAGGCCGCAGTGTGGGTCCTGGTCGGTCTTGGACATCTTTCGAGAGTGTGGCTATGGCGGGAGGAGATGGGGTTAGCATTGTGTTGTTTGCGTTGTCCTTTGAACATCTGTGATGAGCATGAATATTCTGCCATATCCCTAGGTGCTACGAAGAGAGGAGAGTGAGGTTAGGGCTGCAAGGTGGTCTCGTAAGCTGCTGGCAGTGAGAGGGGGAACACATGGACATGATTCCTGTTCAGTCGTTCATTTGTTGTTGCTCTTAATTGATGATTAAGAGGAGTAGAGGAGAAGAAGAGGGATGAGGAGGAAGAATGAGGGGGAAGTCATTCGTGTGACTTGTGAAAATTCATCTTTTTTTCTTTGATTCTACAGTTTTCTACTGGTTCTCTGTTACCATCTCTTTCAGCAAGTCTTGTATTTCTTGCAGTATTTCTTGCAATTTGAGTTCTGCACGGTGGATGGAGTAGGATCATAACACCTGCTTCCCTTGTGCACTATCCGCCGCTAGCTTTTGCAATGTAGCGGCAATAGTACGAGTCTGTTCACGTTTGACTCTGGCAGCTGAGTGAAGTTTTTTGAGGGGTAGTCATCCCTTTCTTCATCGCCGCAGTACTCATCAGATTAATTTTCGTTGGCAGGGCCCAATACTGCAAGCAGATATCTGCCCCCTTCTCTGCTGGTTTATCGAAGCCGAAGATCCACTTAATTGGCTTTTGACCCACTTGGTTGCTGTTGCCCCAGTTGTCTCCAGAGCTTGCCCCAATCTAATAGCTTTGTCTGCCATAACCTTTTAGGTCTCGACTCCTTTCGCTTCAGGCCAAAGAGGTTTGCACAAGCTTTTGTGGTAGCACCCTACAAAAATGAGGCATAAGGGGCTTCTGTCCCAACGACAAATCAGGGGTCTGCAGCAGCCGGTCAACGTCTTGAATAAGCTTCCCCACTGATCCCGGAGCGGTCGCTGTGCCAGCTCCATAAGCCTTTCATATACCCTGTCGTCCTTTGTAACTGGCAAGTACCTCTTCGACATCCCGTCCCCGGAGTCCTCCCATAATACTTTCTCTTCGGAAGTTTCTCCAGTAGCCACTCCTGTTAGACTCTCTCAGAGGTTTCCCATGAATTGGCCGCAAACTATAGTGCTGATATATAATATCGGGGAGCTGGTAGTGTGAGATCTGGCATTTCACCTCCTGTAGCCAGACCTTGACATGCGCATCCGGCAGCCCCTTGAAAGATTGCAGTCGCTTAATCATAGGAAGGTTGGGATAAGGTCCTGCGCTATTTGGCTGGCCAAGACAGTGTTGCAATCTGCTTTTGGAATTCCCAACATCGGCTGTTGGGAGTGGCTTCAATTTTCCCTGGCATGCACTGCGTCGTCACCCTATCACTCGTGAACTTGGGAGAAGCTTGCCACTTCCTTCTCTAGCATCAACTTCCATCTTACAACCTCTTCTCCTTGCGGCACGGTAATGATATCTTTGCAAAGCCTTGCGAGATGAGGTACAGAACGGGGTAGGTAGCTCACAGACGGTGCCCACTGGGGCCGATGTGACGCCCACCCTCTGTGGACGTGGAACCTAGCTTTCAGGCAACTTGTGATTTTATATCTCGTTGCCCCAACATTTTCACATCAGAATCTCTCTCTCTCTCTCTCTCTCTCTCTCTCTCTCTCTCTCTCTCTCTCTCTCTCGTAACGGTGCAGACCAGAACAAGAACCGACCTCTCTCACATAGTACAAGAGCGCTAATATACCAATGATCCGTTAGACGAAGATGAGGGGGGTTAGACGAAGAAGAAGGGAAGATGGGAATGTAGTCAACACCAAGTCTTGGGTACAGGTCCCAAATAATCCCTCGTCCAATGTCCAAGGCTAATATACCAATGATCCGTTAGACGAAGAGGAGGGGGGTTAGACGAAGGGGCCTGGCCCTCACACAGGAAGAATGCGCCAGTCCCCAACCTTACACAGACGAAGAGGAGGGGGGTTAGACGAAGAAGAAGGGAAGATGGGAATGTAGTCAACACCAAGTCTTGGGTACAGGTCCCATATTAATCCCTCGTCCAATGTCTCAATCCAAATGTCGTCAAGTCCTGAAGTCACCAATCTCTCTCTCTCTCTCGTAGTCTGCAGATAATGAGAAGTTAGGTAGCGAGAGGGTGAGGGAGAGATGGTGGACTTAGAAGAGGAAGAAGAAGAACTCTCTCTCTCTCTCTCTCTCTCTCTCTCTCTCTCTCTCTCTCTCTCTCTCT